ATCAGTCAGTGTGGTACAGGTCAATCGTCATTCGAGTGGCCTGTAGAATCCAGGCCGCGGATGAGAATAGAATGGAGACATGGAAAAATGTAGTACGTTGCCTCGCGGTGGCATGAGATTGGTATCGAATGAATGAACGAGATGTTGAGGACAACTGACGGTGGATTTTTCTTTTGTTGAGAGTTGCACGTTTGTGAATGGGATCGCTTCTGGGCTGGGTTGAAGCGTTTAGGGAGAGTGTTCTGGGTAAGTGGATCGGCGGGATTGTTCGGCATAGCTTTGTGCTTGATCGTTGGATTCCAGTGTAATAATATAATTTATATGTCACTATATAATATGCAATATGCATTATGCTGTGAAATTCATCAGACGCAGAATGGATCAGCGCTAAATATCTCGGCTTTTATTGATGATAGAGGAAAGGGCATCAGACTAAACTTGTTCGGTGTCAAGGGTCACGTAACCTGACGTTGATAGTTTTTTTGATAGATGGACACGCAGAGGACGTGTCAAAGGTCAACTTCATCTCTTTTAGTGATATATCGTGTAATTTTTCATTCGTTAATAAGTCTCGGTCTGTAAAAAAATATTAATCTCTTTACGTTGGAAAACAATTGGATAAATAGATATCAAATATGTACATATTGATAGATATTTTTACTTTAATTTTGCATGAAAATCAAGACAGACTTGCACTACAAAATTGTACGATTTCATTTAAAAAACAAAAAAAAGAAACAAAGTTGATCTTTGTACATTTACAATAGATTATACGTCCCTGTGCTAATAACAGCCGAGACATTTAGACGATCTATTTTACGCGAAATATTCTGTACAAAGTGTTAGTTAATGTAACAAATTATTTATCTTACGAAATCTGATTCATTCATAAGCAAAGAATGTTACACGTTAATCTTGCTAATCTAAAATTCAAGAAACAAATTGATTCTGAGATCTCAAATTGTTGGCCGTGGCATTGATTCTCCGTGAAAGTTCGAAACAACATTTTTTAAATTTCGACATTTCCAGTGACAAAGGACCAATATTATTCCCGTACACGTATCTCGTCGTACGTACGTCTATATTCACCGAAACTGCGCTCCTGCGGATAAAGTTTTGCGTCAGTAGCGCCCGATTCGCGTCATGGCCTTTAAACTTTGCCGCAACCCAGACCGTTGGAAAAAAAAATTCTTTCCGTAGTATATTTTATTGTTACGATTCAACTAGGTCTTTGTTCGTTTCTTTTTTTTTCATTCTTTTTTTTTTTTTGCTCCAATTCCGACATTTTTTTTTTTCTTCAAGGCTCCCAGAGTCACTGGTCGAGCTTATTGTAACAATAAATGTAGAACAATTGTAAATCAATGTGAAAGGTCGATATCGAGTATCTATTAAAAAATATATATGTAATCTAAACCAACGAAGAATTAATATGGAACTTATATCTCTTCCTAACCTCGTTAATAAAAACATAAATTATTTTCTCATTTCAATGAATGTGACGTTATTTGTTATCCTTCCTCAAGTTGTTGTACGACTTGTACATAACAAATCCACGATTTCTGTATTTCAGCTCATCGACGTTTCAGGGGCCAAAATTTCTTCTGACTACCATTTTACATACTGCGCAAAAACATCAACATTTAGCCAGGTGTTTGTCCGTCATTTCCCATGCTATTCGCTAACATACTCTCACTCTCAACATATCTCCCAAGTAAAATATTGATGTTAAGTCGCGTGTCTGACAGAATAATCTTCTTGGTTCCTATAGCCTTCTAGAACTAGTTCATGTACACATATACATATATATGTTTATATGTATCATATACTTGACTTGAGAAATCTGCTTATATTAATGTTGCATTCACACACACTTAGGTGTCGTTTAACGTGCCTATACCTGCCATGAAGACCTATCAGATACGGCCTCTATCGAGGGATCAGGATACGTCTGATCAACGCCGTTCTTCTGTGGGTGTATTGGAGGAACTACAATAATCCTCAAGTAACTGACCAGCTCTACATCCCTAC